AGTCCTGTTTTTTTCCCCTGCTTCCTTCAAGCCTGAGGCGGAATAAAGGGGTTGGGGGGGGGGTGGTGGTGGGGGGGGGTGGCTGTGCGTGAAGCAAGACGGTGAACACAGAATCTAAACTACAGTGTTTCAATTGCTCTGGTTATAGGATTCAAACCAAAATACTAGGTAAGCCAAGGAAATGATGGACAACCCAGAGCCAACGTGGTGGAGCAACTACACCACACAAGGGGGTTAAGGCAACTTTTTTATTTATTTTTTTTAAGCACAACTCTTGCCCAACGAGCTGCTCCAGAGTGAGCGTGGAGCCGTGGGCCGTCCCGATAATTACAGCCAGTCAGAGATAGTGTAAGAACCATGTGAAAACAGGCAGTGTAAGAGTTGTCATACCTGTCAGCTGAGGGATTACTACGGAGTCACTGGGTTTGTGTGCCTTGGGGGGTGGGGGGGGTCGGACATGTGTGTCAAACAGTGTGGCTGAACATGTGAAAGAGAACAAGGAGGAGGGATTGTGAGGGGAAAAAAGAGGAAGGTTGTTATTCCTCTCTGACCTTGGCTAAGGTTTCACTGAGCCCGCGGCGTCTCATAACCCTGTTTGGATTGGGCACACGAGCGCCGGCTCGCCCGCACCAGTTGCACTCCTCACCTCTGCACAGTCGTCCGTAGTGTTTTGGAATTATTCTGTCCGTACGTTTTGTCAGGATTTGACCAAAACTCCGGGGCCCTCGTTCCGATTAGCGTTGAATCCTGAACAGAACGAAGCATGCTCTCCACTTCAGCCTGTAATTGTCATCCTAAGCTGTCATTACCTTTTTTTTTAGGTCAACAGAGTAACATTTCTTGTTCGCCAACACCTTAAAACTTCACATACCTCTCACTGTCGTCAGGCTAGCTGTACAATTCCCTGTTAATTAGCATCATTAGGCGTTAGCTCAAAAAGCCCTGCTGTCAGTCAGGTATGCAAGAGAAACCAGAGCAGGAACAGGAAGCTTCAGTAACACAGATCTCCAACCTGCACGGGTTATTTTTTCCCTTTTAATTTATCTGCGTCTGAGAATCAGCTCTTCCGCTTTCATAATTTTGTAGCTAACATCCACGTCATTGCATTTGAGCTTTTGTAATAGCCCTAAAAGCTGGGTCACTTTGCAAACAGAGCAGATCTAGGTCAGTGGATGAAAGACAAACATTCTACACGTTGTATTTCAGCACATTATCATCATGTCAGCTTTCAAAACAAAGCTTCTGTGCACCTGACACACTGAGGTCCATGTTCCGTTTACATCCATTTCCCTGGGCTTCAACTAATGACTTGTCTTTACAGAATGTAATAAAAAAAAAAACATAGAACATGAAGAGTCAGAGAGGACAGGAGGAACGGAGACGTGATGTTTCCTTAACTGACTAAAAGAGAGCTTTCTCCTGTCAGGAACTGGCTAATGCTGCATGTGGTTTTCGCCAGTTTGCTATTGGTAATGTTGACTTAGTATTACTGTATTAGACCACATCATATTAGACTGGATTAGATTAGTGGCTATCTAGCTAGTTAGCTAGCTGGATAGATTATATTGTTGATATTTTATCATATAATACTAGGTTGTATGTTATTAAATTTGATTTGATTAGATTAGCGTTGTGTTTGATAGCATAATTATAAAGCTGATTATATTATATTATATTGTATTGTATTGGACTAAACTAGACCATTTACCAGAGCATGACGGCACATGGTTGGTGACTAGCTAGCTAACCTGAAAGTAGATGAGATCAGATTAGATTATAGGTACTGTAGCTCGATGGCATCACGTTCAGCGTTACAATTTAAATGGATTATCTAACGTTTACAGCAGGAAGTCAAGTCTTCAAAGCGAGGTGCGACCAAAGGCGTTCCCTGACATTGTTTAAATTTCAATTGTTCTGAAGAAATGTGTTTCTTCCATTCTCCACTGAGTGAAGCTGTAGTCATTTATCAGACCTGGTCTTTGAACAAGCTTCTTTGGCCGACAAAATGATTAAGCTCTTGGACTCACAGAAGCACTCTGCTTTCTTTTGGACTGCCACTGCTGTAACCATCAGGCTCTCCAGCTCATCGTCCATCTTCTTTGACACCGTGGCCAAACAGGAAAACAGAAATATTCTCTACAAATGGTGGAGGTGTTGGCATGAATGTGATTCATAGACTCAAGTCGTCAAGTCGCTTCAACAGAAGGACCGTATAGAACCTTTTAATTAGCCGTTTGTGTCAGAAGATAATTGACTAATGCTGGGTTTAATTGCAAGCGGTTTTGATCTCTTACAAATAACAGGTTAGCTGTCAATTATATATGTATACATTTAATCACCGACTCATTCTTTTATGATGAAGTGTATTATAATCCAAAAATATCGTTTTGATATCGTTGCAAAAAACAAACAAACAAATGAGTTCTTCTGTTCGCAATTTCTATTCATTTGTAATGAGTTCTTCTGTTCGCAATTTCTATACATTTGTGAAGAATGTATACATTTAATCACCGACTCATTCTTTTATGATGAAGTGTATTATAATCCAAAAATATCGTTTTGATATCGTTGCAAAAAACAAACAAACAAATGAGTTCTTCTGTTTGCAATATCTATACATTTGTGAAGAGGTGGAAGACACAAAAAATGTTTCTTTAAAAAAGAAATTCACCAGGACTGTATGGCAATAAGGCAGCCCATATGTCTTCAACAGAGGGTTTGCGGCACCCAGGAGGTCCGCAGTACTGCAATTTTTTTAAATCTCAAATGTATCCAGTACTGTGAACACAGTGGCCAAAATCCTCCTCAAAACGTGAAGAAAAGTGTGTTTCATTAGACACTGTTAGCACTGGATACACTGTAAACCCTTTAAAAATGCATCAACGTTTATCTCTCGAATGCTTCACAGACACAAAGAGTAACTGTGCGCTTGTCTTACAGTTCCAAAAGAGGGCCTGAAGAACCAGGCGGCCTTCGAGGAGATGAGGGTGAATTACATCAAAGAGCTCCGGCGTTCAGTGGGAAAAGCAACCAACAACTCTGGCCAAACCTGGCAGCGCTTCTTCCAACTCACCAAGCTGCTGGACGCCATGCATGATGTAAGTACCTTTGTCCAGTCTCTGCTTCTCATGCCCGGCACAGCACAGTACGACACACAGTACAGAGCACTGCGACGCTCCAGGAGTGGAACCATAGAAACGTGGACTTAGATGATGCATTTATTTAATAGGGCTGTGACTCAGAGAGGGTTTGGTGGTTGAATGGAAGAGAGAGAGAGAGAGAGAGAGAGAGAGAGAGAGAGGGGGAATAATGGTGATTCAGTGTTCTCTGG